GCGATTTCTCATTCACCCGTTATCCGTTTTGAGCGTACCATATATCGAATTGTAGCCCTTAACAAGGACAATCCGAAACCACTTTGACCCGACCCAAATCGGAAGTGGACCCCACTCAAAAAATTGCCCCAAAATAGCCATTTAATGCAATTTTTCACACATTTTTCCAACATTTTCATACTCCGTAACTTATCATAATTGTATCACACGTACACGAACTCTCCATTCGATGCTTCCGGATTGAATTTCATCGAGATTCATAGTTTTGACATGCATGATTAACATATATTTTTACCCGAATGCGATAAAATTCTTATACCTGATTTTGAGAAAGAGCTAATAGATATTTTTCCGATCAACAACTTACTTCAATTTGGTAATGGAATTTGCAAATGGAACTTTCTTATTTGAGCAGGGGCATATGCATTTTGCATTCTATTCAATATTGCTTCAGTGCAGCTGATCATATACTTTACCTTATTTAATACGGAGTACCTATTAAGTACTCGGAACTATACACTTTATCATCTTTAATACTCCATCCGTCCCACTAAGATTGTCCAATTTTACCTTTTCGGAAAATACCACTAAGATTATCTCATACCAAATTAGATACAATTTGTGCGGATCAATTTTACTTTATTCTCACTTTATCAATTCATTATCAACTACATAAACTCATTTTTTCTTAATAACCGTTTCACCCCTTGTTGTCTCAATGTTAGTGAGACGAAGGTAGTAATAACTCTAATAGAAAATTGTACTTATATTTGATATGTGTATTATAAATAAAAATGGTTGTGATTATCTTGGCATAAACATGACACACCTTAGCATTCTTTCATACATGTTTGTCTTACTCTACTTTCTATACTCACTCTATCTTACCCAACATTTCATACGTGTCTTTGTTGGCATTATTACTTATGCATTTTAGTAGGATTTATTAAAATATGGCAACACATTAATGCATTTTAATGCCCAAAATATGGGCAGTAATTTCCTCCGTTAAATCCACTCCCAATTAACAAACTTACCAAATTAATAAAGTGGACACTAATGCATGGGCGGGTTCAGTTTATTGTTCATATCAATTTCCCATTATGCCCTTATTTTTGGGCGGCAAAATTCCCCAAAAGTAGTAGCAACTTTGCTACTTTATATAATATTTGTATGTATTTGTATAAAGATTGAACGGATAGGTAACTTTTTAACATTTAAGAATGTAAATAAAGTAGAAGAGTAATGCATCATGTACATTAATTCGTCAACCTATTGTTAGAATGATTATAAGGATGTTTTACTTGAAATCAAATATAATAATCTGATCTGTTTTAGTCTGGTCTGATTTGAATGATCTGGTCTAATTTAATAAATGTTTAATTTCTGTTTATTTTATAACTGGTACGATAGAGTCTGGTCTATTTACGTAAAACTTGAGTTTATGAATAAGTTGCTTACTTGCTTAGTGATTTAGTCAAAACCAGGAACCGAGTACTCAAAGCAGGAAGTTTCCTGGAAATTCTTTGGACAATTTTGGACAAGTTTCAACTAAATATTGAGGATTTAATTTAGAGGGTCAAAGCTCCATATTGATTGCGGTCAAATGGTCAGCGATTTGTCCATGGATCCTAGGAGGGGCCCATTGTTCTGGCTGGCAATTTGCCATGGCGTTTGGAACACTTCAGTAACGAGTTATTTGTGGCGATGATACGAATACTAGCGTTGATGGAGTATGACCAGGGCCGTAGATGAGGACGTTCAAGAAGTGATACCGCACAAGGTCTCTCAATTCAGAAGGTCCAAAATTTTAAATATAGTCTACATAATATACAAAACTTTTTTTATTTGATTAAAGATTCGTATTTTAGTATTTTGTTTTTAAATACAAACATTAAATACTAATATTTATATGTAATTAAAGTGCAATTGTTAATTATAAATATGCAACTTCTTTATACATAAGGTCTGGATAAGGCCTAGTTATAGTAATTAGCACAAATTCCTCGTATAGTTTGGACGAGCTTGATTTTAAGGGACGGAGGGAGTAGTTTTTTCAGTAGTATCCTACATTCCTACTATATATTTTTTAGTTCATGGTTTTAATTCATTTCTTCTCGGTTTTAGTTTTTTTTATACCGATTTTGGTTGTTCAGGTTCGAAATATGATTATATCTAAATATTGTAGTCTTTTTTAGGTTGTTTTTTAAAGGCTGGTTTTTATATTATTTTGTTTAATGTAAGGCTTATTTTACGTGATTTGCACCGGGTTTCCTAATCTATTGAGTCGGTCCCCAGTATGAACGTAACAAATTAACAACGAATCAGACAAAATGAGTTGTGAAGGTGTCTCGAGTAAATAAAAACATTTCCCTTAAAAATATATCTTTTCAAAATTGAAGGTAAAAAAAAGGAAGATTTAAGTTTAAATAACGTAAATAAGTCTTCTACTTTAAAAAAAAAATCGTCGAACATGACAAAATACTCCGCACAAACTGAAGTCCACCTCACAACACTGAAATCAATTAGTTGAATTTGGTGAATTTAATTCAACACGAACAATTATGTGGTTGATTAAAAGGCAGCAGGGGAGGTGCGTGGTTCGAATGGCAGACAGTATGCTCCAAAGATGGAAGGAGGTGCAGGCTTCTGCTGCGGGCTCGGGGCTGTTTCTGCGCAGCCTGGAGCTTTTGCTTCGGGGAGTGAAGGCTGCTTGGCTGTGACCATGTGGCGAAAGTCGGCAGTGGGGTGGTGAAAATAACGTGGATAGGGCGGTCAATGAGGGTGGAGGTGTTCGCGCTTGGGGGTGGATTGCCCGGGATGAAAATGGAGATTTTTTGAAAGCTAAAAGTGTTTCACATTCGGTTGAGTGGACGCCACAGAAAACCGAGGCATTGGGTGTCCATGACGCTTTCCAGGAAGCCATAGCATCAGGATGGAATGAAGTTATTGTGGAGACGGACGCTCAGACGGTGGTCCGAGGATTGGAAAGCAAGAAGGGTCATTCTTACTTCTCTCTTATTTTATACTTCCTCCGTCCCCCGGAAAGGTTCGCCAACTTTGACTTTCACGTAGATTAATAAAGTAAAAACTGTGTGGTTGAAATTTGTGCAGAAGAGAGAGAATTAACTTTAGTCGATCACATAGTCTTTACTTTAAATGGAAATGGCAAATTCTTTTGGGACATTCAAAAAAGGAAATTTGTCAAACCTTTTCAGGACGGAGGAAGTAGGATATAGTTGCTTTACGTGCTTTAAAGAGAAATTTAGTTATTTCTTTTTGTAAAAGGTCTGCGAATCGTATAACTCATGCTCTAGCTCGAGCACATGTCCATTCACCAGATCAACAGTTTGTTTATGATCTAGCGCCTGATTGTATTTTTAGCCAGCTGGCTAATGAGCTTTTGGATTAAACATATTGAGTTTTGACGATAAAAAAAAGGTTGTCTGATAAAAGTATAAGACTAGAGTCGATTTGGTGAACCTGTTTTTCAGTTTATTGGGCTTAAGATTTAATTTTTTAACCTTTTTTTTTCTTTTGCTGAATTGTGTAATAATAAAAAAAAAAGTAAAATTGAAGTTACAGACTGTATTGGCTGAAGTTACTGCAGATGACCACTTTAGCTGTATTTTCACATAGTTTTCTCTTTATTTTATTAATAAAATGTATTTTAAAAATAATTTTTCATAAATCAACAAAATCAACCAATCTAACAACTCCAACAAGAACTTCATAAACTTCAGCAGAACCAATCAATACACTCAATTTTAGTAATACCAAACGGGCTTTTAATATAAGAGTTATTAATATAATAATATTAAATGGGCTCCTAGGATGTTTTCTTTTGGATTGAAACTTGGTGGTCTGACCTAGTCTGGTTTGAACTGGTCTGGTCTAGTCTGATAAATGTTTGGTCTATGTGTATTTTAGAACTATGAAAGTCTGGTCTGAGCTGGTCTGGCCTGGTCTGATAAATATCTGATCTCTGCGTATTTTATAACTATGAAAGTCTGGTCTGGTCTTATCCGATCTGGTCTGGTCTGATCTGAGAATAAAAATAGTCCAAAAGAAAACATATGTGACAACTATTATTCGTGATCTCTCGAAAGTCTGTTACACGTAGAGTTTCGTGCCCACAATACTACCATATGCACGATGCATATGTGAAATGGAGAGATGAACACAAAAGATTAAATATGTGGCATTTTTGTCTCTTTCTTTCTACGGTCTTATGTGTGTTTGATAAAAAAAATTCAATAATGTCAATCACAATGTTTAAATCTAGGGTTTTGTAATTTTTTTTAAAGGTTTTTAAATACTATTATTATAATTATTATGCATGTAAGTTTAAATAGAAATGAGTTCTATAATTTTTTTGTAAAATTTTTGCAGACATACAAGGCCGCCCTGCTATATTCGCATACTTTTTGTCCATACCCATAAAGTTGTCTATATGAGAGTATTTCCAAACCAATTAACCAATTGTCTCTACATACATAAATTTCTCTATGTGGACAGAAAAAGTCTATGGATAATGTACTCTGCATTTTTGAATCCATCCAATAGTTCCACCCATTATTGTATTTTTCAATTTAATTAATGAGTACTCCGCATTATTGTAGTCATTTTGGAAGAGAAAATCCGGTTATACGGAGTATAATTTTAATAATGACATTATTTTATAAATCCTCGTTAATTGGATTGGAATATAAACTATCCCAGTGGCGACTGACGAAGGAGTATATTTATGAACTCACTCCACTCAGCGATTCAGAAATAACGATCACCAAAAAATAAATAAAAAATGTTTGAAGTATTTCGACTTTTGCAGCTGAATATTCTTATTTTCGTCCTCCCAATATAATTTCATCTTGACATTACTCATAAGGATTAATACGTGAGAGCTCGACAATGTCAAAGGTCTGACAATTCAGCAATACCGATCAGCCAAGCTTCGTCGCCAAAGACCAATTCAATAAACAGTCAAACAGGAAACGCACCTTAGTTGAAAAACTTGACTGTACGGAAACCGGCGAATTCATATCCAAATCGGGAAATTCATCGGAGAGCGATGAAAAGCTCGAAGCCATTGAAAAGGAATCCGTCAATATTTCGTTTTCCGGCACCTCAGCCGCCTCCACGTCCCACAAAATCCAGTTGTTCGTCGACGCTGTATGAGGATTATCATGCGTTACAGAGTTCCTCCACGGCGGCGTCCCGCCGTTCGCCCGCAAAAACGTTCCGCCATAACTCCTCAGTTTTACCTAAAATTTTCGTATGATTCAATATTTGTGTGTAATTTCGGAGAAGTTCAATCGATTCGGGGATAGCTGGAGTGAAACAATTAGTCAATTAATTACCTGAAATCCATCCTTGACAGGTTGCCATTCAATACGCAGATCCTTCACGTTTTGCTGCTCGGTCAATAGCACCCTGTTTCCGGTCATGCCGAGGAGCAGCGGGACGTCGGAGGCCATCAGGTAGCGGCCGTGGCAGCTCCTGAGGCGAATCAGGTGGCTGTTTCCCTCCACAAACTCTACGTACCACCGGCCTTTCTTCGACGCGCCGCCTCTGCGGCTCTGGCGCGTGTGCTGCTGATCGTCGTCCGCCACTAAGTACTTGTTCAGGTGGCTTCTCAGCCGGACCGCCTTCGCTTTCTGAAAGATCTCCATAGCTATGGAGGAGTTGGGAGAGTGGGAGATGATGATGGAATTGAATTTGGAATTAAGTATGGGTTAGGGAATTGAACTAGTTTCTTTTTCTTTGCTTTTTTCTGTTTTTGGGTATGATAACTGAAATGGCTTGAATTTGGTAGTTAAATACAGTATGAAAGATGGGGGATGGGTTTCATGGCTGCCCATAATCGGTCTTAGCCAAATCTAGACGCTAGACAGCGTTTTTTAAGCAAAATAAAATATAGTCCGAAGAATGTAGTCGTATCATTAATGTTTAGATTTGTGTTTATCAATCCTACTTTTCGGTTTAACAATAATACATGTCAATTTTTTTAATTTAAACCAAATACAAAGTATGTGTTTATGAAATTTTGATCATAGGGTAGGACCAAGGTGATTGATTTTTATATTAATTTATATTACTACTTCCGTTCCAAATTGATTTGCAAATTTGACTTTTCTTGGTCAAACAACTTCATTTTATTCGCTTAATTAGGATGTCAATTTTTAATTATATTCTTATTTGGAGTTTACAACTTTGAAGAGAATTTAATGTAGTTTCTGAATATATAAATTTTAACTATTAAAAATAAAATTAATTATCGATCGATACGGAGCATTGACTTTTATTATTTGTTTACCAAAAAATGTTGACTTTTCAAAATACATTGGGACGGAGAGAGTAATTCCTTAGCTTGAGATTAGAGCAATTATACATGCACTATTTTTTATATATATCTTCCTTTTTAACTGTTTTAAGTAGTACAATTTACTAAAAACATCACATGAAATGAAAATTAAAACATTATACTACACATTTTTTAGACATAACGAGTGATCGTTTTGGATATATTTAAGAGCATGTACATCAGTACATGTAAAAACTAAAAAACAGGAAAAACGATAAACGCATCCCTTAAAAAAATTATCTTTTGAGTCGCTAGTTTTATATAAAAAAAATGGTTAGACTTTCTCTTATCACATACTCTGTAATATATATTTTATTAAATGTCAACATCCTTGATTGAGATGAATTTTGAACTTGTGATCTCCTCCTTGGGAGTATCATATTGATGGCTTTGAACCACAAAGTGCTTCACATAAGTTAGTAAATTAATAAGTCTGGCCATTTCATTTTGTTCTTTAATTAAAGGGAAAATAACGTAATTAAATAATAGCAATCATTAATTTATTATTAGTAAATTAATAATAATAATAATATATACTGAGTAACATAGAAACAACTAGCTCATAGTCAGACTTCAAATACGTACAGAGTACTCCCTCCATCCCGCTAAGAAGTTCCTGCTTTCTTTTTTTCAGCAGTCCCAAAAAGAGGTTCATCTTTCCTTAAAGAGCAAGTTATCTACATCAAAATAGTGCCGAACAGTGCCAAACAGTGTTGAGACAGTGTCAAAATAGTACTCCCTCCGGTTTTATTTAATCTTCACACTTTGACTTCACACAAAATAAGGAAATAAATTTGACTTTACTGTAGAGTACACTGTTGAGGCACTGTTTGACACTGTTGAGACACTGTTTGGCAGTTGGCACTATTGAGACACTGTTTGGCACTGTTTTGATGTAATTTTCTTTACCAAAAAGGAAATAAGGAAGTGTGAAGTTTATTTTAGACCGCCCCAAAAAGGAAAGTGTTAAGTTTATTAAAAACCGGAGGGAGTAAAATTTACCCCCTGGTAAGTTTATTTTCTTAATATGTGTGTAGGTCAAACCGGGAGGGAATTTCTTAGCGGGACGGAGCGAGTATATAGCAAGAAGGAATCAAATGATTTCTGACATCAAATTTGATCATTGAACTATCAAAGAGGCTATTTGGTAGTAGGAAAATTGGCTGATTTGGCTCATTTTGCTGAAATTTATGAAGTTCTGGTTAAACTGACTATATTGGCTCATTCTTGCTGATTTACGAAAAAAAATATTTTTAAAAATACATTATATTAATAAAATAAAGAAAAATTATATGTAAAAAATAGTTAAAATGATTATCTGTTGTAACTTCAGTCAATACAGCCAGAAAAGTAACTCCAACCTTACTTTTTTAGCTTATTACACAATTTAGCGCGGGAAAACAAAAGTTACGTGTCTGATGAAAAGGTTGATTGATAAGCCGAAAATTAATGTTGCCAAACGGCCTCCAAATATGATTTGTAACTATTAAAATAAACTTATTTGAAGATTTGTACGTACGGAGCATAAATGTTTTTGTTATTTGAATAATAAAATTTACAGTAGGAAAGTGGTCATTATCATTTTTATTATATATATTTAAATATTTAAAGTGGTCCTAATAGGTTTTTCACGTAGTTTAAGACTTTAAGATAATTTATAGGTTTATTGTACATTTTTTGAAAAAGTATGAGAGTTTTGATACTGTATCAGTACTGTTACTTTATTAAAGTGCATTATAGCTGCTTTTAAGGTGGATTTAATTCCTAAAATGAATGTGAACATTTATTTTGATACGGTCAAAAAAGGAAGGTGGGACACTTATTGTGATACGGAGGGAGTAGTATGTATTGCTATCAGTTTACCGACGAAAGTAGTTAGTATTTTCTCCATCCCGGTTTCTCAGAGCGCGCATGAGTGAGGACAAAGTGCGCGGTAAAGGCTCGTGGTGGTTTGTGAGGACAGTCCGTAGAGTATGTGGAGTAACTACCTCGGGCCCTACGGGGGCGGGGTGATACAATTTAACATATCAACATTTATATCAGCTTAAAAATAGAGTACGTAATATTTCCTCATCATGAAAAGGACCCAAAAATAAAATAAAAAATGCAAATGCACATACAGGCCATCCCCTACCTATTTTCCTAATTTTATAAGAAAATGTATCATTAGCACTCTCATAACTATCCAGTACATATCTAAATATTGTTTGCTCACATTCGAACTAATATAAGACGTACCTTCACATGGTAATATACGAGATACGAATGAGAAGTACAATAAAAATAATATGTATTTAGAGCAACTCCTAACTAAAAATTTAATCATTTAATTCATCAGAAATTAATGTCAAAATATTAAATAAGTGATCATATTGCCAACTATCATTTATTTGATCGTTTATATAAGTTTTTGATGTTTTAAAAGATTGATTGTTTTTTTTGTCTGAAGTGGATTTATATTATTATTTTTGTTTATTGAAATACTTGATATTATTAGAAATCATTTTCAAAGTATGTATTATTATTGACTCATTCAAGATAGTTGATATCGGAAGAGCACTCGTGCTTAAGAACAAAATTTGGGCATACAAATGAGAAGCGGTTATTTTTTGATAGGGAAAGGGGCAAATAAGCCCACGTACTAACCAAAAAAGGTCAAATAAGCCCTGATTTAGGAGGCTCTGTCCGGCCGTCGACATTTGGGGTGGTTCCCGGTGAAATTTTTTTGATGAAATTTTTTTAGCATCTTATTCATACAGTCTGGTTTACGCGTACCAAATTCCAGCTAAAACTTCCATCGGGAAGACATTCAAATGAATTCTTGAAGATAACTGCGCAGTTAAAAACGCAGTTATCTTCAAGAATTCATTTGAATGCCTTCTCAATTGAATTGTTAGATAAAATTTGGTATGAGTAAACTAGACTAAATGAATAAGATGCTCAAAAAATTTCATCAAAAAATTCCACCAAGAACCACCCCAAATGGCGATGGCCGGACAGAACCTCTTAAATAAGGGCTTATTTGACCTTTTTTGTTAGTACGTGGGCTTATTTGCCCCTTTTCCCTTATTTTTTTAACAAAACATTATAATTTCAAAATAAACTTTTTACTCTTTTCTTGCATAGTTGTAGAAGAGTCCATCTCCTTTCTTTTCTTTTCACCCTTTTTCCTTCTCGCTTTACCTCTAGAACATATTACTCACAAAACTTGTAGCTTAAGACTTGAAAAGTCCTTTAGGTAGCAATGAAATTGATTGAATCGAGTGATCTTGTTAAATTTTATCAAATTCTGATCAAATTGTCTAAATGTGCCGAATTAAAAAAGAATATACTTTACGAAAAACAAATACAATAGACTTTTTCTTCAAATTCAACAGAAAAGTAACATCAATCTTACTTTTTAATAGCCAATTTAGCGTTTGAAATAAAAAAAACTGCATGTTTCATAAAAATGTTACCGGGGAGTTTGATTTGTCCGATAAGTCAAAATAGAGACTAAGAAGCAAGCTCAAAATATTTACATTACTAATATAACATAAATTTGTAATGGTCTTAGTTATAATTGTTTAATACTCCCTCCATCCAGTTAAGATAGTTTCATCTTTTCGTTCTTGTCCTCCTACTAAGATTATATTTGTAGTGTTTGTTTGGTGTATAATCATTCTTATTTTATTTTCATTTTATCAATTCAATATCAATCACTTAAATTCACTTTTTGATAATCACACCACTTCCTCTTGTACTACAATGATAGGGGAACGAAGGTAGTAGCAAATGAGGTAGATTTCCCTAATTAAGTCACATATCTTGCTCAAAATTATTTAAGAGCCCATTTGATAAATCGTTTTACAGCTTATCAGTCTTATCAGTCAATATTTTTACCAAACATGTAAGTTGTGATTTTGTCACTGAATTGTGCAATAATCAAAATAAGTAAAGTTGAAATAACTTTTTTGACTAAATTGGTTAAAATTACTGTAGATGATAATTTTAGTCTTTTTTTATATAATTTTTCTTTAATTTATTAATAAATTTTTGTTAAATATAATCTTTTTATATATATTTGAACAATTTAGCCACTTTAGCAAGCATTTATTCAATTTCAAAATTTAAGATTATATCAGTGTTACTAAATGGACTATGAATTACTCCGTAATAAACAAATTGGTGTTGACTATTCTACTATTTCTATATCTTGTTTTAAAAAGAAAGGAATGACAATATGACATCCAAAGTTCTATACTCATAAATCGAATAATAATATGATTTCACGTTGTGACAATGTTCCGTAGTATATTTGTTAGGCAAAAAAAGAAAAAAAAATACTAAAGCAAGATTAGAGTAAGGAAAAGAATGAAGCATGGGTCGGTTGAGTTGTGGTAAAACATTTGACGGGAAACGTTAGTATTGAAAGCTTGTACATAAGTTAACAAACGGAGTGTAAGGTTGATTAGGTATTAAAAATGCTTCACAAACTTATGCACAAAAATTTTAGCTCAAAGTACAAGTAGACTATAGCTTATGATTACAACCAACACATTTTTTATACCTAAAACACTCTAACCTTAATTCACTATTATTATATTTTAGATGTGGTCATTGATAATAATTACGATGTTATGGATATATTATTTTTTATATTTCCTAAAATAGAAATGAGAATCTTAAATTGAAACGGTGGAATATTATATAATATTTGGAAGGAACAATGTTGAGAAAATTATAAATTTAGTCGCCTTTTGATATGTCACTTTTGCTCTTGCAACTTCAATAACTTGCAAATTTGCTCATGAAAATAATAAATTTGTCCTTTGTTTGTACGTAGTATTAAATATTTTTTTATTAGAAAAAGTACCGCGTCTTTGATTTTCTTTTTTATAGTTCAAAAGTAATATTTGTGTTCAGGGATGCATAACTTGGTAAGTAAATTAAACTAGGAAGGTGTTCCGAAATTATCTGAAAATGAGAGCACCCTATTCTAGTTTAGGAGACTAATTTTCTTCGAAAAAATTGCCCGATTATTACTAGTTGACTCTTGATTTCTAAATATATGACCCTTTTCATACATTCCAAAAAAGTGACCCGCTTGTCTTTCTTCCTTCACGCACGCTGCTTCCCTTTCATTCGCCGCAAGTCATCGAACACTGCTTCCCTTACGACCTGTTTGGATTAAGTGTTGAGGGCTGTTAGTAATGGAAGTGTTAATGGGTGTTGATTTTAACACTTGTTTGGGAGATTGTTTTTAAAAAACTGGAGTGTTATTAAGTGTTTAAAGGTGTTAGGGGAAACTTTTCTAACACCTCAATAAGTGACTTTTTTAACACCCCAAATTGGAGTGTTTTGGAGTGTTGGAAAAATCTTACCCTTTCATATTTCTTCCTGTAGCTATATTATCGTCATCGCTGAAAGGATGTTCTTTCCATGATTTCTTCGTTGAGGCTGCTGAGCTATATACATATATAAATAAATACATTGTTATAAATCCCTATCAGCAAGCAAATTGAAAGGAAGACGTCGTCTGCTCCCTTACTCAAGTGTCTCGATGAGAACCTCATGCTTCTTCTTTGTTTCTGTTTGCCGTTTGGTACGAATTTTTCAAAGTGAAATTGTATTGCTTCTTAGAAATTCTTTTTGTAAGTGTCAAATTGTATCTAGGATTAGGATCTAATTTTACGACAAGTATGTTTTTCTTTCCATTCGAATGGATATTGTATTGTACTCCAGGACTTTTGCAGTTTATAATTTTAGTGAACAAAACGAACCATGTCATAGAACACTGTGTTTAGGGTTTAAACAAGGACATTATTGTCAATTTCACCTAAAACACTTCCCTTATTAACACTTCATTTTTTTAACCCTCCCAAACAAGGTAAGTTTATGTTTAACACTTACACTTACTTTCCCTTCCGGGCCCTTCCTAACACTTAGTAACACTTCCATTACTAACACCTCCCAACACTCCATCCAAACAGGCCGTTACATTCCAACGAACATCTCATCTCCTCCAACGCAGCTTTCTCCATCTTTGCTCCTTGCGAATTGAAGCACACATTCGCACCATTCAACTCCTCCTTCTTCCTCCTATCTACAGACCTCAACTTCCTTCGCAATCGACCCTACAGTTTCCATCTTCGGCGCAATCTACCTTCGCGGATGGTAGGATTTTAACCTCCGCCTTTAGCTTCGTCGTCGCCAGCAGCATGGACGAAAACTCCGATTTGAGGCCTATCTTCTCCGTTGTCCTCGCTGGCCGCCCCTCCCATGGACGAAGACTCCGATTTGAGGTCGAAAGTTCTGGATCCGCCTTCCTCAATGGGCGACGACTCTGTTTTGGGCCTGTCGGTGCTGGATCTGCCATCTTGAAGGACGATGACTCTGATTTGGGGCCGCCACCGCGGGCGGAGGTGCGGTTGTTGTATTCTGTTCTTCCCGCTTCCTCAAATGAAGAAAGAAAGCTTGAATCTGCATGTTTCTCGTCCTCTGTACAGGCCTGCTCGCTTCCTCCATTCCAGATCTACGGTGATGTGCCGATGTTGCAGCGTCTAGGGAGTGGCGGGGCATTGATGGTCCAGGGATTTGGGTGACAGGGGTAGGGGAGATGAGATTGGGGCTAGAGAGATGGGGTGGGGAGCTGGCGGCAGAGCTGGGCACTGGGGAGGGGGAGGTGGTTGTGGGCTAGGAGGTGGCTGGGGGCTGGGGAGTCAACCCGGGGCCAGGGTGGTGGTGGCTCGATGATGGGCGGAAACAGCGGTAGGGTGGTGCTGTTTCACTGTGGTGGTGAAGGCGTGACTATAATGGGCAGGGACAAGGGTGTGAGGGTTGCGGCGGACTAGTCGGGGCGGCGAGGGCAATCACTGACCGAACGATGGCGGCAGTCACTGATCGGCGACCGCCGTCACTGGACGGGGCAGCGACGACAGTCACTAGACAAGGCGGCAGGGACAATCACAGGATGGCGGCGGCGAACGCAGACAAGGCGGTGACGCAAGTCACTAGACGGGGCGGCAGCGGCAGTCACCCGATTGGACGACAACGGCTGTCACTGAACGGGACGATGGTGTTGGCGGTCACTAATCGTGGCAGTCGCAAGACAGGGTGGTCACTATTTGAAAATTGAAAGTGACTGCCAGTCACTGCGTATCAATTCTTAATTATACGGCCATGTGTATTAGAAGGTCATATTATTGGAAATTTGTGTTTTAGCTCACTTTTTTATCAAACCGTCTCTAATTAGTAATAACTGTATAAAAAGGTCGCCACACAAACTTTACCAAATAAGGTATGAGACATTTAAATAGGGACATCTCAATATGATAAAACGAGACATTGAAAAAGGGGCGGGGAGTACTTTCCTGGTAACTTAATTGAAAGCAACTTCCCACTACCCTCCTGGAGAAAAACCATTTGGAAAATAGCACTTAAATACCGAAGAGTGTAATTTAAATTCAACTCGAGTATTTTTTTTGTTTTCCAAATCCTTCTAAACTTATGACACTGCTCAATTAATGTCAACATCTTTGATTCGCATAAGACTCGAACCTGCGACATCCTTCCTGACAGCGGTGACGGATTTATGTTTCAAGTTTTGAGTGTTTATTTTTTTGTACAATTTAATTTTCAAAGAACGAAAAATAATTGATTTAAATTTGTACAAGTATACTAATCTGTTTTTCAAAATTTTAGGTGTTCAATTGAACATCGTTGAACTATAGAGGCTCCGCCACTGCCTGAGAGATTAACAATGATGTTACCAGACCACAAAGTACTTGGACCAGACGACAAAGTACTTGGCTCAACTAAGGAATTCAAAATACTTACAAAGCAACCAAAAAAAAATAACTACTTGAACACTAACGAAATAACTATGGAAACAATGGAAACAATATAGATCTCTTAAAAAGAAAGGAATGACATCAAAAAACAACTCTGTTATTGAAACAAAAAAACTCATTTTTGCAAATAAAAAAGTTTGTTTGGCAAAAAAATGATTTTTTGCCAAAAAAAGAGAGAATATTATCCAAAATAGGACTAAAAAGGTTTGAAAATTCCAAAATAGGATTGCCATGTTTTTATTCCCAAAATATGACTAATTACTTCCATGTTTTGGCAGTACCAGACTTCAAACATGACATTATTTTCCAAACTTTGAAGTAATTACTCCTATTTTGAGAATAAAAAACATGGGAGTCCTATTTTGGAATTTTCAAACTGTTTTAGTCCTATTTCGGGAAATTTCCCCCCAAAAAATGTGTTTGGGCAAAAAAAGCTTTAAAACATCTTTTATGGCCTTAATACTAAAAACAAAACATATTAACTATTTACTTAAATTAATTGAGCAATTAGACCCTTTGTTTTCATTGTTTACATTTGATAGTATATGGAGTTACATCTTCTTATCCGCGAGTTGCATCTTTTTTATGCGTGTTTTGTATCTTCTTATGTGAAAGTTACATTTAGACTTGTCTTAACAAGTTACATTTTGCATACATCTAAATAAGATTTTTCATCAACACGATTTACATTTTCCATAGCACGTGTTATCACAAAATAAACCCCTGTTGGTGAAAAAAATTGGTAAAAAAAATATTGAGATAATTTTCTTTGGTGAAAAAATATTTTTTGGTAAAACAAATGTGCTTTTGGCAAAAAAAAAAATGATTTAAAAAACAATTCTATGATCTTAATATTAAAAACAACACATATTCACTATTTAGGTAACGTAATTGAACAATTAGACTCCTTGTTTTCATTGCTTACATTGAATTCAATGTTTTATTTCTTATACTCTGGATTAGAAAAGTTACATTTGGACTTATCTGCAGTTATTTTTCTTATCAGTGTGAGTTTCATTTATTTACACGCCAGTTACATCTTTCTACCACTGGGACAAGAAAAAAAGTTATTGTTCACGCGAGTATTGTTCATGCGTGTTTGAGCTGTAGAGTAGCATGCTCATCGTGGACTGCCCCACGATATAGCAACTGTCGTCTTCAATTATTTAAAAAGTGACAAACAATTTGCTAAGGTATTTCAAATCAAAACTTCCTCTGACATTTATGTGGACGGGTAATGAACTATAACAAGCTTCCACACTTACACACATTAGTATTCTCTAATTTTGGTTCTCCAGCAGTCCAACCTTATTGACGTTCAGTGGCATATGCAATATGGGGGCAGCTGCCCTCATTGAAATATTTCAAAAATCGAAACAACACCGTTTTCTCATTTTGGCAAGAATCAAATGAACCTCCATACTAGATCTGCTTAACACGCAAAACCAAAGCGGGGAACTTAGGATTTTAGACGCAGAGCAAACGTATGCTTAACCTCCTCACTCTTCCACCTCTTCGCATCTTCGAAATTCGGCTCTGCTTGATGGGACAATGGCTCTTCACACTTTGCCTCTTCCTGTCTAACTCTCTTCTAGCGAGTTTGCAACCTTCTTCGACGGTTGACCGACGCCGCGATGCGAGTGAGCGATGAAGCCAATGGTGGCTGATCAGCCGACGTGGTGAAGCCGGTGGCGCCCTTTGTCGATGGATTAAGCTTCTGACTGACTCCGAACACCTATGTCAACGACTCAACGGCCAACCCATCAACGATTTTTTACTTACTTCTGGTTTTATGAAATTTGAAGGTATGCTCAATCGCCCAGAAACTTTAATTTTGAATGACAACCCAAGTGTTTTCTATGTTCATTGTTTTGGTCATCGTTTATAAGCCTATAATTAGCAATTGTGACAATGGCAAAACAAAACGATGATGTCTTGTTGTTGTTTTTTCATGTCTCACAATTGTGTAATGTCACTTTCACTTCATGCAAGCTTAGAAATAAGCTAAAAGGCAAACAAATTGAACAATTGGTTGAAATAATTTCTATGAGAACAACTGGTTGTTGAAAAAATAATAGTATTTCAAACGAATAAAGTGTTACTCTCAATTACTTTTTTCACACTAATTTAATATAATAAATTTTGTACACCTTATACATAATAAAATTACTATACTAAAAATGAAACTAAATATTTTGAACGTTATTGCGAACGTTCAAATATTGATCGTTTGTTGATTTAATAAATATTGCATTGAAAAACAATTCCTAGTGGCTTTCATTATTATAATTAAAAGTATATTAATTGTACACTAACGTTCAATTTTGAAGATGAGTGGATATGTATAATTAAGTACATAAACGTTTACATGCATGCCGAAGTAATATATATAGAGATTAAGAAAGCATTAAAAAGATGAACGTTAGTATCTGGTTGGCAACGTTCAATTCTTTGCTTGTGTTCGGCCATGCTAGATTGCTTGGAGTTGCCAAGAAAAAGATTAATTTGAGCTAAACATTCCCTACTATTTTTTCACTCTGCTGGATTAATATAATTTTCACTCTCGTTGTTCTGTTACCGGCTTACGCCGAAGAGCTCGTTATATCTTGGGGAAAGGTTTTCGCTAGTCGGAAATACTTTCTTGAGGACAGCGTCTGACGCGTCTCGAGCTAGATTATTTTTCTAACGTTTTTTTTTGCAGGTTTATCCGGCGAATTTATCCAACACTGGTTTGAGTCAAGAGGCAACTTTAAGTGTCCATGTGACACGTGGTGGGGGTCTCACCGCAAATTATACCGTGGGATCGGTGTATCAAGAGGATGGTGCACCCATCCCAAAACGACACAGTATTACTCGGTATTAATTTGAAAAACAACTGTGCAGCCGTTGTTATTAGGCCAGATTAAAGAGACTGCGTGCGTTCCGTCTTGAGAGAGAGCATCGGAAGTTGGCCATGAAACTCGCCGGCGAGGAAGTAACGGCGGTGCAACTGCTCATCCTCAAGGCGGCGGCACGGCAGCGGCGGCGCTCAGCCTTGATCGCTAATTTGAATCGTCAATCTTGTCCCGGCAGTCTATCGAAGCCATGCTCTGTTCCCATAAACTTCTGAGCCTGATTTTTTTTTTGTGCACACTTCGAATTGACAATTTATTAAGCGGCTCAATTTGTGTCTTGCGAGATAACAGCGAAACAGAGACTCGATTTGAGTGTACACTTCATCTAATACTCAAAAAGAAGAAGCTGGGAACTCATTGGAACTTTGTTCGGAGCCTAGAAGCTGGGAACTCATTGGAACTTTATTCAGAGCCTCAGATTAACTTTTAAGAATTGGAATTTTTCTTACACAATTGACTATCATGAATTATTTTAGACATTCTCAATTTACATCTTCAACACGCTCAAGTTACATCAAAATTTGCTTAAAGTTACATATCTATAAGTGTGAGTTACATGTCAACTGTCATCAACAAGTTACATCATGTTTACATATGATTTACATTTTTCATAATACGAGTTACACCACAATATAATGTGAGTTACACAACTCAATAAACATCTGCTACTCAAAGAAAAATTAATTTTATAAAAAATCATTTTTGTAGCCTTGATATATTAGAAACAAAACATGTACACTATTTTTGTAAAATAATTAAACAATTAGACTTCTTTTTTATCAGTTTTTACATTTAAATCAAAGTTTACTTCTTATACTATGTATTTGACAAAGTTACATTTCGACTGGACTTGAGTTACATTGATCAATAACGTTAGTTACATATCTTTACACGTGAGTTACATCATTCATGCTACTCGGACAAAAAGAAGGAAAAAACAGTTACTGTACACGCGTGTACTGTTCACGCGTGTACTGTTCACATGATTTTTTTTAATTGTGCAAAGCTACGTCGTTTTGGAAGTGGGAGCATGGTGCTCACCATGGGATGATCCCACGGTATACGAACTGGGGTCTCACTACAACGCAATTGTAAGAATTGTAGGCAAAGTTGTTTTCTTTGGTTACTGATGTTCTTGAAGAAATAAACCAAGATGCAAGTGACCCAAAACATAAAGTTCAAGCATACTCAACATTGAAAAACATCCAATGTTATGATTTTGTGTTCTGTTTGCATATAATGAAGAATGTATTAGGTATTACCAGCATATGATGAAGAATGTGTCAGGTATTACCAGCATATAATGAAGAATCTGTTAGGTATTACCAATGATTTGTCAAAGGCACTTGAAAGGAAGGACCAAAACATATTCAATGTCATGAGGCTCATTGAGGTCTCAAAACAAAGATTGGTAATATTGAGAAGTGAATGGGAGGTAGTTTAAGAAGAAGTATCATTGCTTTGTAACAAATTGACATTGAAGATCCTTATATGGATTCCGATTAAGTACCTCTTGAAAGATCATGATGTGGAGTTGAAGGGAAAGAAAATGTCTTAAGGTATTGTGCTGAGATATTTTATTGGACTCAATGATTGTTTCAATAAAAGAAATTGAGCTCATCTTGTGTGTCTCATCTTTTGATTCCCCAAATATATTCATTTGAGAAGTTCAATAAGGAAAAATTGGTAGACTTTCATCGTTTTATATAAATGATTTCTCTGGGATTGAAATTGAAGTTTCGGCTTATCAGTTTTAGACTAATTTTTATTGACGTGTAATCTGAATTTAAGTTCTCTCAATTGATAGGTGTTGATGAATTGGCTTTGAAATTAGTGGAGACGGAAGACATTTGGGTTATCCGTTGATGTATTTTCTTCTAAAATTGGTCTTGATCTAACCGATTGCAACTGCTAGTGTTAAAAGTTCATTTTCAGCTATATAGCTGAAACTTATCAAGACGTCCTTGCACAATTGTATGAGTGTTGATTTGTTGAATGATTGATTGCTTGGTCCCATATATTCAAAAAGAGATGTGTGATTGTATTTCGAACGAGGCAATAATCTTACAACGATTTCAAAATATGAAAGAGCGTAGAGGAGTGAGTACTTTCTAGTTAATTGTCCATAATATTGTTGTTTAATTATAACATTTTATGCTCAAGACTTCTTGAATTAATGATATTATTTATGTTTTGGTAAAATAATTAATGATACTACGGTTACATTTCTTGCATGTAATCACACGCGCACACACACACACACACGCACGCACGCGCACACACACACATATAATTCTCTATTAGTAAAAGTTTGATTTAAAAACAAAGAATTTGAAAATTTAAAATGATACGAATTTAACATAATTTAAAAGAAAAATATTAACACACTAATAATTAAAGCATATTTGAAGTAGAACATGTGAATAACGTAAAATTCAATATGTTGCACTTATTTAAGAACAAAGACAATATACAAAAATATTATCAACCTCTATTGATATTCCTTTAAAAAATCTATTGATATTTATGAATTTAGTTCTTATGATGACACCACCGGTCCACCGGGGCATTGCCCCGGGTGTTACACTAGTATTACAAGAAAACTATACATGCAAGAATAGTGCCGCATCACGTGCAACGCCCGTGGAACATACATACTAGATTCAAACGGGGAATGGCTTAATGTCAGCTGATCTCATTTGCCATATTTTCACATTTGCTTGAACACTTGCCCCGGTGGCATTGTTGAACAAGAACACCTTCGCTGTCTCATAAATTGCTTTAGTTGGATACACTCTTGATGTTATAACTGTCCTTCCCCCTTGAGCAAAGCTCTCTACAATCGAGTGGTCAACCTATTGTTTGGGAGCACAAGTTGAAATGGATGCTATATAAAAACAGAACTCCACTCTAATATGAAACAATTAAAAGAAAATACACTTGGGTTTGTATCTGCAATGTTTAAATTCATTGTGTCTTAAAACGAGAAAGCTTCGGAATACAAGATTTGATGGGAAAAAGGATTTACAAATAGCAATTATAAAAATAGGAAATCCTAATCATTCCTCAAAATAGGAAATAGCATGACAATTTACCATAAAATAAGGTAGTTAAAAAACATACCAATATTCTTGCTGAATATTTCTCATCTTCAACAGTAGGTACAGTACTGCCATAAACTTCTTTCTCAACTCCAGAAGCCTGTGATGATCTGCAGCAATCACAGTTCACAACCACCACAGTTCATTTCAAATTGAGCCGATATATATTAAAGGGAAAAGTGTCAAATAGGTCCTCGAACTTTCATAAAAAAGTCAATTAAGTCCTTCTTTAGGAGGTTCTGTCCGACCGTCGCGATTTGGGGTAGTTCCCGGTGGAATTTTTTGATGAAATTGTTTGAGCATCTTATTCACCAAGTCTAGTTTACTTATACCAAATTTTAGCTAAAACTTCAATCGGGAACACATTCAAATTAATTCTTGAAGATAACTGCAAATTTTTGCATTCTCGAATTAATTTGAATGCGCTCCCGATTAAATTTTTAGCTAAAATTTGATATTAGTAAACTAGACTTGATGAATAAGATGCTCAAAAAATTTCATCAAAAAATTCCTCCGGGAACCACCCCAAATCGCGACGACCGGACAAAATCTCCTATGGAGGGACTTAATAGACTTTTTTATGAAAGTTCGAGGACCTATTTGACACTTTCATGGGAATAATATAAAACAATACTACGTATGTATAACACAATAAGAGTACACTAGTCATGGGTTAAAGTGTTAAACTACATCATTAGAAAATGCAAGGCACCAGAAGTGAAGAAAGAATGCAAAATTAAAAATGTAAGAGCATATTTTTAATCATAATGCCTAAAACAAAATATTGATTACCTACTGCTGGAGTAATTAAAAGTTATAAACTAAAACCTCAAAATTTAGATGACTAAGAAATATAATCAAAATTATAAAAATTAAATATTTCCATGGATTCATATTGTTCATTGATGTAATAATAAAGACTCCAGCTCAGATTTCATAGGAGGGTAGAAGAGATGATGGTAATTGTGTAAGATACTAAGATAGGCGTCATCAGGGAAGAATACTGGCAAGGTAGCTAAGGAGTTATGCCACTAATGCAATTGTGATTGTTAGGTGTAAATTAAACCTCTCTTTCTCTAGGACATTTAGGCACCACTTCTTGTTTATGGCCCCTAGTCGAATGTTGATTTAAAATGTGTGCAATATGTTGTAGTTGAAAATAGAAAAGACATTGTTAGTCTATGTTTAAGCATGAGTGGTCAAGAATAGTGTGGTTTTTTACTTCTCAAAGAGCAATTGCAATGAGCCCAGAATGCTAGTTGACAATGAATTAGCAAGGACCAGATTTGGGTGGAAGATCAATGCAGAAATATCCAGCTCGTAGCTCAGATGAGACCCTTGAAGATCTTCTAAAGAAGACACACAACTTGTGCTACCCGGGAAATGAGTCACATGCGGACAAGGATTGGTCATTTTTTTGGCTAAAGGGTCAAATAGGCCCTCAAACTAACTTCAAAAATGCAATTCACCCCTTATATAGGAGGCTTTGTCCGGCCGTCGCCAATTGGGGCGGTTCCCGGTGAAATTTTCTGATGAATTTTTTTGAGCATCTTCTTCATTAAGTCTAGTTTACTTATACCAAATTTCAGATAAAAATTCAACCAGGAAGACAGTCAAATGATTTTCTGAAATGTACTGCGATGTTTAACTACACAGTTATCTTAAAAATTTCATTTGACTGCCTTCCCAATTGAATTTTTAGCTGAAATTTGGTATGAGTAAACTAGACTTAATGAATAAGATGCTCAAAAAAATTCATCAAAAAATTCCACTGGGAACCGCCCCAATTGGCGACGGCCGGACAGAGCCTCCTATATAAGGAGTGAATTGCACTTTTTAAGGTAGTTCGAGAGCCTATTTGACCCTTTAGCCTTTTTTTATAAACAGTTATATATATATATATTATATATTATATATATATATATATATTGAAAAAGTAAATAGTACAATGCGAGAAGTGAAAAGAAGAGAAAAAAAAAGAAAAGGCTAAAGGATCAAGTAGGTACATGAACTAACTTAAAGTGTTCAATTAGCCCCTTATATAGGATGTTCTGCCCGGCCGTCGCAAATTGGGGCGGTTCTCGGTGGAATTTTTTGAGCATCTTCATTATTAAGTCTAGTTTACCCATACCAAATTTCAGCTACAAATTCAACCGAGAAGGCAGTCAAATGATTTTTTGAAGATAACTGCGTAGTTAAACAGCGCAGTACATTTCGTAAAATCATTTGACTGCCTTTCCGATTTAATTTTTAGCTGAAATTTGATATGGGTAAACTAGACTTAATGAAGAAGATGCTCAAAAAATTTCATCAAAAAATTCCACCAAAAACCGCCCCAATTGGCGATGGCCGGGCAGAACCTCCTATATAAGGGGCTAATTGAACACTTTAAGTTAGTTCATGTACCTATTTGACCCTTTAGTCAAAAGAAAATTACAAAAAAGAAAACAATAAGACTAAAACTAGACAAGGATTGGTCTTATTCTCATACAATAAACCTACAAAATAACCGTGGTTGTTGGACCAGGATTGACCAACATGTATTTTTGTTGATAGAAAAGATTGAATGTGAACTGACATTAATGAATGGTGGTAGAACAATTCAGAGGTTAAGACGAATTGGAAGTGTTATAAAGAAATTTTTAGGATTCCCAACACAGTTATGAATAATTCGTATGTCTACATGACTGCAAGTACTTTTTTGTTCCATCATTTGCAATGGAGCCAAAAATTCACTATTTTTTTTACTTAAGATTATGATGGAATAAAGCAAAATGGCTCACTAAACTGTTTGCGCTTCTTTGTTATGAAGCAGCGGTCAGTCTATGTAATTTTGACACGATTTTCACTACGGGTAAGGCTGCGTACATCCGACCCCCCTTACCCCACCGTAGGTGGGAGCCGTTGCGGCACTTGGGCAATGATGATGATGATTCAACACAAAGGCTTTATTTGCTGTAGGATTTTAAAAACGAGACAGAATAAGAAAAGTTGGCAAAGTCTAGTGGGAAGGAAGGAGTATGTTAGTTTACTATTTTATGTTGTCAAACACTTAAACAGTGACAACTATTAACACATTAAATCATGAAGCCTCATAATATCACACTAGCTATCCATGCTCACAATTTACTCTTATATTTTCCAAATAAAATCATTTTTTTCCTGATCAATATTGCTACTGAAATTTATGCTCACTAGCTAGCTCAGGTGAAGAAACAGACCTTGTCAAGTCGGTACAGAAATGAGTCTCAGCATTCCCATCAACACCTTTGTTAATGAAGAAGTAAACAGGTGTTAGCTCACTAAGTGTTTCATCAGCCACAACTATTATACCAAATGGCCCCAAAGTGCCTCTGTTAACAGCACCACCACTGTGATTGCAGATGTACTTATAGTTGGCTTCCACTGTTGCAGCTTCAAATGCGCCCTTATCAACTTGAAATGAGACAATAATGTCTAACTACAGTGTTTAGAATATCACATCAAACGACAACATTTAAGTTAATTATAAAATGTTTAATTCTCATACGGAAATAAAAAGGATACCTGTGTAGCAGTTGAAATATTGATCGACACAAGTGAGCCCGGTTGAAGCTCCACTTCAGTGACTATAGGAACACCTAATCTCAAGCTCTCAACTTCTTTAATTGGCCACTGAAGCAGATGACTCCCTGTTTTCTTGTCAAAATTAAGAGCCCTAGGTACGCCCTGGTTAATCAAACAAAGTAATCAATCACACTAAGACTACACCAACTGAGCCTTAAACAATGTTCATTGATATTCTAATAAGTCATATATAGTTACTCTTGTTTGGATCAAAAGAGGAAAAGGGAAGGGTGGAAGTAATAGGGAGCAGGAAAATGATTTTAATTCATTCAATGGAGTTCAATACAAAAATTATAGCCACATTTGACAAACCTCATAATCATTGGTTTAAGAAAAACAGGCAATACATATTGAGTCCCGTTCACCTTAGGTGCACCTGATCGAGAGTGCCATATGGCCAAGCCCGTTTGAGGTACTTCTGGGAGGAATTTTTTTATCATATTTTGTGAGCATGTTCTTCATGAAGTATAGATTATGTCCACAAAATTCATCAAAAAATTCAATCGGGAAGTCAGTTAGATTATTTCTTGAAAAACATTGTGCTTGAATTTTTTAATATATTATTTAATTGACTTCCTGATTGCATTTTTTTGATAAATTTGTGGACATAATTTATACTTCATGAAGAACACATGTTCACAAAATTTCATTAAATAATTCCACTCAGAAATCCCAGAATCACCTCAAACGGGCTTGGCCGTTTGGCACTCCCGGTCAAGCGCGCCTTAGGTGCATAAGACTCTCTCTCTCTCTCTCTCTATATATATATAAATATATGTATATATATCATGACAGTATATATAAATAATGGTGGCATGGAAAATATTCATGTAAGGTAGGCCTAAAAGTTAAAATTTTAGGCCTCTTTCGGTTGAGGGGCTTCCAGGATGAATTTTTTGATGAAATTTTGTGAGAATGTTTTCAATGAAGTTTATATTATATCTACCAAATTTGAGATTAAAATTTAATCGAGAAGTCACTTAAATAACTTTTTTAAAAATGAGCAGTTTTTTTATACATATAACATGCGGTTTTTGTCAATAATTTAGTTAACTGACTTCCCGATTGAATTTTAAGTTGAAATTTGGTGGACATAACCTACACTTCATCGAAAATATGCTCACAAAATTTTATCAAAAAATTCAACCCGGAAGCACCTCAAATGAAAGAGGCCTAAAACTTGTAAGTTTTAGTTCTACCTTAGGAGAACACTAGCCATGGTGGCATAATTACAACAAAAAACTAATCATTTTTAAAAAGTTTTCAATCAGGTCATAATGTCCCAATTTAATCAAAACTCTCTTAATTCCGGTCAAGGTTGCCATGTAAGCACTTGAATCATTGACGCTAATCGTGTGAACTTTTTTGTACCACTAAACTACGAGTTAATTGTGCGTTTGCGTTAACTCTTCTCTAAGGCTCAAGTACGAGTGTTTTAATATTACTAACTGGCACCAACATCACATACTGATGAGGATTATATTTTACCCAAGTTGTTCATTAACTTTTGGGAAAATCCATGTATGGGTATCAATGTCAAAAAGTACGATTTGAAAAAACCAAAATGCTAATATACCTGAATAGATGCCCAACCCTTTACAATGTCAACATCTCGGGAGTCACTTTCCCCAATCCAAGAAAATATAATTCTTCTATGCTTGTTTTGGTCATAAAAGGTCTTTGTTGCGTAACATTTCCCATAATCAAGTCTCAACCCCTTACCTATATCCAGTTCCGGATAATCAGGTGTCCACTTTATTTTTATTGGGTCATACGTCCCAATAGCATAATAATCATGTGTTTCGTCATACAAACTTGCCTTCAAAACATGCTTCACACCTGAACCTTTAACCATTTGGTCTGACCCATTTCCATTCCCGGTTGAAATCGGAAAAAAGTCCACACACTCCCACATACCAGTACCAGTAACTGAATGCAAGAACCCATCCAAAAGTTTATAGCTTTTAAAATCGGCAGTTTCATAAACAAATGCAACACCTGTTTGATTAAGCTCAGATCCTATAGTAAGATACCAATGGCCACTTTTTAAGTCTGCCCACGCTGTAGTTGGATCCCTAAACTCCAACAAACCAACGCTGGGCGGCGGGACAATAACAGGGTTACCCGGATACTTGGTCCATTTAAGGAGGAGAGGATCAGAAAGATTAGCAGGATATGCAAGATTTTGCACCTGCACATCAGTGTTCCCTGTGTAGACCACCATGATCCTTCCATCAGGGAGGGATGTGGCAGAGCCAGTCCAAACGCCACGCAGGTCATAGGGCTGATCAGGGACCATTGCTTGTGGTAGATAGAGCCAATGAATCATGTCTTTTGATACTGCATGACCCCATGTGATATTTTCCACCCAAAAAGCTGAACTTGGGTTGTATTGGTAGAAAAGGTGGTACCATCCTTTGTAGTATAATGGAGCTGTGACACATTTTCGAGAACATTTAACCTTTTAATCTTATACATTTTCGTGACGCATCGTAAAGTTAAATGTAAAAACTTCTACTTTTGGATAAAAGATCACCATACATAAATGGCCAATGGGTCATTTAAAAGTCATTATAAAAGGTGAAAGTTCCCACTTTGATAGTTCCATTTTGTGAACATTCATTGTGACTTGTCAGACATCCTCCCTATAAATTTGTTTTAAACACGGCAGATATGAAGTAATACTAAGTGGGTTGTTATATATAATACCATAGAATGTAATTTTCGTAATTTGGACCAATGTAAATTATTAGATACATATAATAAAAGAAATATCAAAGAATCCAAACAACTTCAACCACAGTTTAGAGGCTAAAAATGAATATTAAATAGGAGTATCTCTTTACCAGTGAGAGTTAGGGGAGGACATGGGTTTGGCTAAACCCACAGTCTTTAAAGAAGCAGAAATGCAGGGAAGTCTCCAGGGTTGTAACTGGTTAGTGGTAACCTGTCAAAATTCAACAATTTCTATTTCTTTTTATTTTTTTCAAAATTCTTTATAGAACTTAAAGTTAGGAGAGCTAGAGACCAGAATCATAAGCATGGAACGGGGACTGATCAGTCCTTAGAGCTGGCACAGGGACGACCATACCTATTGAGGTTCTAATGCATCTCATATAATTTTCATGATAATATCAGAATATGTCCGTTTCCACTTAGATTCTGTTTGGTTCGAATGAAATTAAGTAACTTGGTCAACCTCAAGTTAGTAAGAACTTGGATGGACCTAGGTGAACCTAGTTGCAAGTACAAAAAGACAAAAAGTTGTTGGAATGGATGTTACCTAGGTAAAAACACCTTACCAGAAAAACTCAATCTTTCAAAGCCCATGATTCAAGAATTTTACAGACTTGAGTTTTCATAGGTTATCAAAAAATGGATTTTTGGAGGTTAGTAAACTTATACGGAGTATAATCTTCTAAAACCTAATTTCTTGTCACCAAAATACTTCCAACACCTCGAAGGCTCGAAAAGAGATGAATAGTGAGTTAACCTTATAAAAACTTGTGTTCACCCAGAACCACCCACTAGTAAGTTAACCCCAGGACATTCGTGTTATGCAAGCAATTTTTATGCAGCAATGATTGATAAAAAGTCAATAACAACAGAATATGAATGAAGCAAGAGTTTGCATAGCGCAATACCATTTGGATCTGCCGTATTCCATTATAAGCAGGTGATGTCCGGAAGAGCATTCATGAGATTAAGATGAAAGAGCAAAAAAACTCGAATCAAATCTTCAATCAGCAAAGCAGCAAAATGTATTTAAAAATAAGTGGAGCCAATTAAATCAGTATGCTCCAAACCATTCATCCAGCCATTTTTTGGTTGAAAATGGAAAGCTGTTCTTTGCCAAGTCAACATCCGTTCAGTCCATTGGTTCGAGAACCCATCTCCAGACGCCTCCACGGGCGAAGAGACCGCAACTCTGGCGATCGATGAGGACTCCAACGATGAAGGTTCTTGTAAAGTTCCATTGCTGACTAGTTGAGACTTTGGTAAGGGTGATTGACTGAGGATCAGAATGACAGAAGATAGTACACAGAGGGAGGAAAGGAGGCTACAGGTGATGATCTTCAAGGATCGCCTGTAATCAGCCGGATTTCGGGCGGGCTGGATTTGTTCAAACAGAGGAGTATAAGGAGGTTTGTCAGTAGAACTATCCATTTGCAAATTGCAATTTGATGGTGGGATTGCATTATTGAAGGAACGGAGTGAATGATCTGCTTTTACTTGTACTACTAGATTTTTACCCGCGCGATGTGTAGTCTATATTATCAAATAGTTATAATCTTATTTTCTAACGTTATTAGTGCATGTGTAGATGATATTATATACAATAATTATAGAGAAAACTATAGTTATCACTAATAATAGGTACGATTTATATATTAGGATAAGAGGGAAAAACGAAACACACAATAAATCAACAGTAAAGACCTATTGTGAGGGACAACATATCTGTTGTCAAGATGCGCGGTCCATATTATCAAATAGTTATATAATCTTATTTATTAATGTTATTAGTGCATGTGTAGATGATATTTTTTTATACGCATGTAATATATATGAATAATATACAATAATTATAGAGAAAACTATAGTTATCACTAAGAATAGGTACGATTTATATATTAGGATAAGAGGGAAAAACAAAACACACAATAAATCAACAGTAAAGACCTATTGTGGAGGACAACATATCTGTTGTCAAGATGCGCTCCACCCTTGACAACTGATCTTCCTTATTGCGCCTTCTATACTTAGGATAACCTTCATCGTTAAGAATGGTTTGTTCGCTGAAGTTTTTCGGAAAGTGCTTTGAACGATTGTACCATGCATGGAGCACTTTTGGCATCATTACCACACGGTCCATGCATCATATGCATACACAGAGCAATATAATACTCTTGATCATTCAACTCATCAGGTATTTCGGCAGATATGATGCCAACTGGTGCTCAAAATTATATGATCTGTCAAATACTCTTCTCCAATTTCTAACTGGTCCCAATCTTGATTTATATAAATTCATATTTGGGAGTACCAATTGTGATTAGCTCACATTTGCGGCGTAATTTACCAATAATCGACAACTAAATCTATTTTTTGAGGTCTACATATCAAATCTGTTAGACCCTAGATTCTGATGAACTGTTTTTGATGATGCCAAAAGCTTTTGTTATCCCCCCTCTATTGTAGCATTATTATAAGAGTCTTTGTTATCCTCTGTTGTAGCATCTTGCAGTTGTCTAGTACTAAGAAAACTATCTAGATGTGTCGTGCTCCTTTTTATATAGTTAACAAATAAATATGACTGGAAAACCATAAAATGCAATAAGGCAATATTGTATTGCCTTAAAAGGATATCGTATAAATCCAACCAGTTAGATTTATTTGTTACACACAATAACATCTCGTACAAGTGAACAAGAATAGTGAACAACTGACTGGAACACAAAATGCAATAAGGTAATAACTTTTACCTTAAAAAGGATTTGTTATCCTACCAGTTAAGTTGTACACAATACCTGCCAAACTACACAAGTGCTTAAAAGTGACAAGAATTTCAATGTACAAACAATGTATCAGATTAAACATACTGGAACTATAAAATGCAATAAGGTAAAAATTATTTACCTTACATGGATATTTAGATCCAACCAGTATAGTTCTAATCTGATACATAAGTTTAATCATGTCACTTAAAGAAAGAAAGTGATTAGTAAAATAAGTGACAAATTTTACTGTGAAATTTGTACCAAATAAATTGTACTGGAAAGAACAAAATGCAATAAGGTAATCTTATTACCTTAATAGGATATTTCAAAGATCCTACCAGTACAAAATTTATTTGATACAAAATATTCTAAGTCACACATTTTACTACTTCACTACTTAAGCAGGTTCACGCACTCAGCTTCACAAGTGTAGTTGCAAGACAAATACACGCAGAATGCAAGAGCAGAGAAGACATCAGAATAGGTGAATAGTGAAGAAGTTTCAGAATAGGCATGCAGCGATAAGAAGGCCTAAGGTATGGGTGTTATCTTCGTACAAAGCAAGTGGCCTTCAAAAGACAAATCCTTATCCTGCTCCAACACAAGAAGACGCAAGTACAATACTTTGGACGTCTAGGATTAAATCCTCTTAACCAACGGAGGAGATTAATCTACTGGAGATGCCTATAAAAATAGGCAGAAGCATGAGATCAAAAGCAAGTCATTGAGTTCAAAGCAAGTGGTTCAGTCATTACACTACGAATATCCAGCAAAAGGAAAAAGTGCTTGAACACTCTGCTTTGACTCATGCTTCACTAAGCTCTTAGACTAGATTTCTCATTGTAACATTTATAGAGCTTAGGTTTTAGTTGGTGGCCAGAAATTCCTTGTATTTTACAAGTGGTTGTAAACACTTAGGAGAACAGTTGTTCGGATCCTAAAGTGTGGTTAGATAGATAGAGTACCTTTTGATCCCCACTGGATCAATTGAGAAAAGTCTAAGGACTGAGTAACTTTGAGTGGTGTTATACTCATCGTGAAAAACCTTCAATCTAGGCCAGAGTTGTCAAGGCTAGATTGGCACTAATTGTATTGGGCTGAATACTTTAGTGGAAATCCATTTGAAATAGAATGGGACTGGATGTAGGAGGATTACACCACCTCTGAACCAGGATATATCGTGTGTTGATTTACTTTCATACATGCAGAGCACACACCAAACACATCTCACTAAAGGATTGTAGTTTGCCAGCAGCATCCTAAGCAGTAGTCTTCATCGATTGTACTGCTTAGCCTACTGCTTAATAACTCACTCTCCTTGAGAGTGTTTTCCACTAGAAGTTATCTTACACTCAGAAGGTGCCTCAGCAGTACCCTGGTCTTCACCCTCCTGCTGAGCCCACTGCCCATCCATATGTGTCTTTCCAAACGCCATAACAAGCCAGAACAAAAAGCCATCCAAGAGTCATCCTGTTCTTAACAGTTGCCTCAGCAGTAACCTGCCTACCAGCCGACTGCCAACTCAGCAGTTGCCTGCCAGTCAGCAAACTGCCTGTGCAGCAGTAGACTAAGCAGTTACCTGCTCACCAGTCTACTGCCAAGCCTACTTCCTCTTGTAACCAGTCTAAACATCATCTAAACTAGAAAGTTATCTCACACTAAGTATAAAGAGGTTAAAGACTTCCGCTGTGCATCTATTAATCTCTTAAAAGATTATAGATCAACTCATCTAGAGGGAAAAGTGTTCCAAAGTTTAAAAAGCTTTAAAAGTCTATTCACCCCCCCTCTAGACTTTTACCTCTATCCGGGACCATCAAAATCTTTTAAGATTAGCCCGGTTGCAACATACATCTGTAATAATATGATATTTAAGTGCCATATTTGATGGATATTGCTGGAAAAAAGTTGGAATTTATGTGGGTGAAGTAAATATTGTAAACATAAATGACATTATCAATATGTTATCTCAGGCTCATGAGATTGTCAGAAAAAATATGTTATCCATGAGTGAACACGGATACACTTTTTACACCTTTTGTTTACATCTATAGTGTTATGTATAGTTCTGATTTAATAATTAGCTTAGTCTATATTCTGCTTTTCAAAAGCACAATATAATTATATAAAGGGAGGTTTAATTTCATAAATCTTTAGAAATAAGGTTCCGTTAAAATCTAAAATTTAAATCAGAAATGCTATTTTAAAAAAGTAAACTTCAATTCTTTTAAGAGTTATAGTGGAAAAATATAAGTTAAATCTCAGTTTGATTGCACGTTTTATCCACAATTACTTTCAAATTTTATAAACTATAAGTTGGCCTGTAATTCTTTTTGGTAGATATTAGTTGAAAACGTGTAAGAGAAGCCAACTTACAGTTTACTCCCTCCGTATCTATTTACTTGTGTCAGTTTCTTTTTTGAGATGTATCAAAAAATGTCTCATTCCCTTTGTGGAAATAAACCCACTTAAAAAGCTGTCACAGTACCGCTACAATACCAAAAATCTCCTATTTTACATATATTAGCTTTAAACTACGTAAAGAAACATACGGGCCAAATAAATAGATAGATAAGAGAGTATTTCCTAAGCTAACTTTTATACACCATTGTTTAATCACTGCAAGTGCCAATCTAAGCTAGTGATATTTTTGGGCCAATATAAAGTATGCTCAAAAGGAAAGATTCTATGGAACCCTGTTTTTTACACTATTGTTTAAAGATTGCACGTTTGTTTCTTGTTCTCTCGAAGCTTTTAGAGTCTCTTCCAGCTTAAATACGAGACTTTCAGCAAGAGAAGATTCTCGGCCACCTTTGTCATCATATCCTTTGACCGAGTTTTTTCTCGAAGAGGGGTATTTTATAATCTTATTTCCCAAAGTAGGGTAGTTTCAAACTTATTTCCCAAATAAGGGTATTTTGTCCTGGTCATCATGCCATGTCAGCACACATCATTCACCTGCCATATCATAATCCATGTCATTGCATACATATATACTCCGTAATATATAAAATGATAAAAAAGTTCAGGCTTGAGGATTGGAACCCTCGCCTGCATTTAAACTTCAACACCCTAGACCAATGCACCGCAGGTGTATCTTGTGACCATCATAATTTTAAAATAGATTTGATTGGTATTGTGAGCATGTTTAATTAAAACATACGTTTTTTTACAGATAATAAAAACATACGTTGATGCGGTGCTATAGTGATTTTGGGTGACTTTTATTATTAATTTAATGTGATACATTTTGTGAGAGTTGATTGTTATTATTATGTAGTACCTTTTCTTACATTTTTGTTTGTGAGTTTCTCATATTTTTATGTTGGGTAATCATATATATGACACTTATCTATATAAAATTATTTCCACTTTTGGTCCTACGAGTTTTATGTCATTTCAACATTTAGTTCACGTCTTTCAGTTTGTCCACTTTCGGTACATGACTAATGTTTCTTGACCATTTATTGTCCTTCTCCGGCGATTTTAACCACCAGAATTGTTGCCGGAAGTACCATGTATGAGTGAAAACAAATACGCATGTACCAAAAGTGGTCAAAGTCAAAGACGTAAATCAAATGTGGAAATGACATAAAACTCATACGATCAAAACTGGAATTAATTCTATCTATATATGAAGTGTTATACTCCGTATATTTACAGTATATAACGGTTAATATGAGTATCATGTATGAGTAAATATTAGAAA